CGGACGTGTATGTCTTGTGGAGTCCGGACACATTTTGTTGTCCAATATTATACTCCTTAAACATCCGCAAACACGTCCCCCCTGAATTCTGGCAAAATGATGGCAACCCTCGGAGGCTTTGTTATAGTCTGGACATCCACCAAAAGGCGCCATCTTTCCACGCACTTCTCCCCTCTCTCTTCTCAACCGCGACATGCACATGCGTCGGCTCGATGGCCTATCCCATCTCTCCCTCCCTTCTCCTCGCAAGGTGTTCAACGAAATGCGTAGATGGATGGAACCGGACAAATGTGAGGTAGAATTTGATGACTTCTTCCCCTATCCTGTCCGCGGACACATCCAATGTGTTTTATTTAAGGGTTTGCATTAAAGATGCCCTTATCAGCAAATCAATCAGAGAATTAATTCCTTCCATGAAAAAAAAAGAGGGCAGGGTGCAACGCCGAGCACCCCATGTATGCGAGAATTTTCCCAACAACCCGTTTCTTCCTAAAATAGTAAAAATACTAATTACATCCACAATTAGATCTCCTTCCTTGGGAAAATAGGCAAATATTTATCACGATTGCAGTAAAATCTCCTTTGTTTTCGAAATAAGTGAATACACAAATATTAATATTGATTACATCTGTATTAAATTATGTCCTTTTTTGTTAGGGAAAAGCTTACCTTCGGCCGGCCGATCGCGTGCGAGCGTCCGTCGCCTTCGTGTCCGTCAGATTGACTCTTGATCACACGTCATAGAGAGCAACCCCTCCGTGTACGAGTTTCTGCAACTCATGCCTTGTTTCGGAAAAATGGAGTTTCCAACTATCTGGCTAGATCCCGTGGCAGGCGGAGACTCCTGCAGCTGGGAGGGCGACACCAGCGAGGATTCCAGCCGGATCCGGCGAGTATGGCGCATGGGTAGGAGGCCGGGGTGTCCTGGAGCGGCGGGGGTGGAGACTCGTGCGACTGGGAGCACAATGGCGGCGAGGATTCCAGCCGGATCCGGCGAGTATGGCGCATGGGTAGGAGGCCGGGGTGTCCTGGAGC